TTCCACCATATTATCGTCATGTATCGTACTAAATAGCAATGCATTTCTTTTATCTTTCCATTTCCATAACATCACTTTGTTTTTATATCGCAATATGTTCCCCTTTTTCTCTTATTTTTACATCTGAAGGAATACCACCTGTTTTTCCGCATTGTATCAATAATATCTGTTTTGCAAGTTCTATATTAGTGTACTAAGGTAAATGACTATAACTTCGTCAGCGGATATAATTTCGTTAAATTAAATAAATTAAGCAATCTCGCGTATATCGACTATATTTCCCGATTTGAAACCGATGTTCAAATTGTTTCAAATCGGAAAATATAGTCGGTATACGCAAGATTGCTTAATTTATTTAATTTTAAGAAGGCTTGATGAAATTATATCCGCTGACGAAGTTATAGCCATTTACCTTAATTATCTAAATTTAATCGGAATAAGCGGTTTAAAATATGATGACACAATTGAAGGACAATGCGAGTTGAAGCCTTGCATTCTGGATAATATGAACCGTAATATGTACTTTTACCAATTTATACGCAGTAATTAGATAGGATGTAGCCAGTTTTATTTTTGCATAATGCAAAGAATTTGATCCCAAAACGATTTCTTTTTGAAAGTATATATTGTTTCCAAGACAAACGCTCTTTCCAAAGTAACAACGATTCATCGATGCAAATATTTCTTTCAGAATGTATATAAAGTTTTACATTTGTACTGGACATTTTGCAAAACAGTTTGAATTTTGTCAATTTTGTTTTTCGAAGAGTTGAAAAAAATTACTCGGATGCGTTTTTTCTATTATTTTATAAAAACAATTTTTCACATAAAAATCTTTTATTTACGTCAAATTTCATATATATATTTATATAAAATTATATAAAAAGATCTGTTTTTTTTTTGTTATTGCGACAATATTCTATTTATTATTTTACAATTCTGGATTTTTATGCAACAAGCTTTTTAAAATTTAGATATACTATTTTGCAAAATTTATTTTTTATTTCTATTTCCTTTTTTATTTATTATTTCGCAATAACTTGCGAAACGTTAATGTAAACGTTAGTGTCATAAATTTTTGTATCCTTCGTAAATATTCTAGTCTTTCAGCAAATATATCTTCAACTTTTTTTTTAAATTCAGCAAATATATTTTCAATTTTTTTTAAATTTAGCAAATAGATTTTCAAATATTTTTAAATTGACAAGTCATGGATTTATCCTCGTCGGTCTCTTCTCGTATATATCCGAGATGTGACAAAGCATCTTCTCCCTTAGTACACTCTTCCAATAAAGGCGAGGAATATTTGTAATTTTCAAATTCGCGACAAGTGTCGCTCGACAATCTTGAATGTTTGCATCGTCTTAATGCAGGCGGTCATTATCTCGATCCTCCGGAACGTCGAAACAATTCGACACGATCTTGGACTTAACGTTAATATCGCTAGCCAGTAATATTATGCGATCGCGGTTGTCCAGTTTCAACAGCGGGATTATAATGCTGCCATGGCCGACGTATCTCCTCCGTGCTTCTGACGGCACTCGAGTATTCAGATTCATCAGAGACGGTTTAATCAGATTTCCTTGAAACGCACCGTCGACGAACAGCAGTCCAATGTCCGGTAGACTGGTTACATTTTCCCGGATGCTTACTGTTAGCGTATCGTCGAAATTGAGAGCTTCCAAGGCGTCTAACAGCGTCCACGATCTCGCTCGGTTACATACGGATAGATGGAATTGAAACGTTCAAATGCTTGAAAAGTCACCGACGTGGACATGGGTCCCTCGATTGTGATAGATGGTATCTTATTGTCGCCTTGGGATATCCATCCCTTCTATCTTTTTCTTCTTGAAATAAGACAAGATGGCAAGAACGAAAGATATGATCTTTTTATGGTAAATTGAAACTCTTCAGGAAAAAAAATTATACGTAAAATTATCAGGATACATATGCTTAAATAAATATTAATTAATAAATGAATCAACAGATTTAAAAGCATAAACATAATTAGTTTTATAATTAAAGTCGCACATCTCTTTTTGTGCGAAGCAATTTATCTAGCTTTGAAAAAATAGATGAAATCGTAGGTTTATTAAAAAGATGTGTTAAAGAGAATTTTTGTTTTTATTAGATAATTTTACGATTAAAAATTCATGTATTGTAAATAAAATAGAAAACACATAACAGAAATTACATATTTTTTAATGAAATTTTATTAAAAATTTTGAATGTAGGAAAAATTATAAAAATTAAAAATGTTAATTTTAGTAAAATTATAAATTACAAATTACAATTAAAAATTACAAATATAAAAATGTACAAAAGAGAATATCAAAATGTACGATTAAAAAAAATTTACTCTTTGCTACGAGTTGAAACGTTGTCGTCTGTACATTAGCCAAGCAAACGGTTCGTTTAAGGGATTATCTAGTGATTCCGAGAGACCTTGTATACACGACTTTATAGCGTAGTTTTAAGCTTCACCCGTTTTACATGGATACTTTTAACCCTACATATGCCCGCGTTCATGTAAACAGCTTTTGGAAGGTAACGCGCGGTTCATATCGTCGCGATATCCCACGCTTTCGCAGCGCGAAACTTTTATAAATGGGGTGTAAATCTCGCGCTTTGTACGATATTCACGATATACAAAACACACATTTTCTTTTAATTATTTATATAGAATTTTTGTAGAAATTTTTGTAGAAATTTTTGTAGAAATTTTTTCATCTAATATATTCTTTGTTAGGAAATTTTCACTAAGAAAAATCGATTTTTTAAAATCGATAATTCTTCCCCTTAGTCCTTTTGTTCGATTCCGAACATGGTCGATGATATGTACCTATAAATATAAATATATATTTTAATATACATTTAATATATATTTAATATATATTTTAATATATATTGTAATATTAAAAATATATTCAATATATATGGCACAGAAAATATATTATTAATAACATGTATCTTTCATCTTCATCAAAGTTAATGAAAGTACCTTTAATGAAAAATGATGCACATATTAAAAATATTCTAGTCTAATTAAAAAATTAAAATGATTAAAACTTAATGTCGACAATTGAGAAAAGAGCATCCTCATCAAAATATAATAAAATAATCGTTTGATTGTAATTAGTGTCCAATTTCCAATTATTAGAGAGAGTCGATGTATCGAAAATGAAGAGCTCGCAATGAAAAATAAATATATCTCGACATTTTCCGCCGTGAAAAGAAATTATCTCAAATTGATCAAAGAATCCGTCAGATGAAAAATGGCTCTCTACGGTCCACGGTACCGTGTAAAGGAGAATTATTAACTCTCAAAGAGAGAAGAGCAAAGACAGAGAGAGAGAGAGAGAGGGAGAGAGAAAGAGATAGATAGAGAGTGGCTATATTCGCTTTACTACGCATTTCGCTATCGTAGAGAATTTAATAAGCCGCCTACTTCCTGCTTCCATTGCATCCGCGACAGAATGCATTCGATCCTCGAAACAGCTTTCTGGCAAGTTATAAGCCGTGGCGCATAAACGATCTAATATTATTCACGCTCATAAAGGAAAGATAATATAACGACTACAAGATGTTGATATTTCGCGAGCACATAATAAATTTTATATATTAGTATAGTATAGCACACAATTACTTTTTTAAATAATTATAATTTAATATCGATTGTATTAAAAGAGATCGATTTGCTCATATATTCAACAAACGGATTAGTAAAAAAATTACCATTTTCTTCCCAACCTCATAAATTCTGCCTATTTTACGCGTCCTTTTACGTAGCTTTCATAAAATTTATGTTTGCATTCATATTCATTACATCGTAATGGTCCCGTTTCAAAGGGTTGAAAGGGTCTCGTTTCTAGCAAACGCGTTTATACTCCGAAACACATGGCGTATATTAATTACCTGTTAAAAAATGATTACCCTGCAAGAAAAATGTTCCTTTAACGTGTATCTCTGTGGCTGTGTCACTCTATGAAACTACGTTCGGAATATTTTATATCATTGAATTTCGTAAAATAATAGTCAAAAATTATAAAATGATGTAACATGTAAAAAAAGATTTCACATACATGAAAGTAATGCGAAAAAACACTCTTGTCTCTCTCCTTTTCTCTCTTTCTCTCGCGCTCTCTAATTTATGTTGTTTCTAACAAACACATTTATTCTCACATAGCGCATTATTCGCTATACTAATTATTTCGACATTGTTTGCAATCGGACAATACCATGTTGTGCAATGTGTGTTAATTAATTGTAGCACGGTTTGATCGGGTTTGACCAAACAGACCCGGTTGTTTGCGATCGAAACGTAATAACGCGCCCACAAAACCGTATTTCAAAACGCGATAGTTTTTCGGCGTAAAATTCATTTACGGATTGTTGGCATAAATAAAATTATTCATCGCGGTGATATTTCGAAATTTGCCGAATTATGTCATAGAAAATATTTCCAGATATATCTGAAAATAATTTTGGAAAGAGTCGAGACTCAATATTTTATCGATTTTAAAAACTCTACGTGACATCTAGTTTATTGCGATCCCATTCATTTTGTATATGTAAGAAATATACGAAGAGTGTATCGAATAAAACGAAAAAAATTGTAATAAAATATTTTCATAAAATAAAATGAAATAAAGTAATTTGAAATTGCAAATGTCAAATAAAATAAAATGAAATAAAATAATTTGATATTTCTTGAATAAGATTAAAGATTGTATTCACCATTTTTATGACATATCTAAAATGCAAATTTGCAAAATTACTTGTTCAAATATTCGTTCAATGCTCGTTGTACATTCGTATCGTATCTTATGTTTATCGATTTATCGCGAGGACAATTTCGTGCGCGTCCTTTCAGTATATATTGATTATACGGTTAAGAGTAATTAGCGTTAATTGAACGGAGAGAGAGAGGGAAATGCGAGGGGTTATTCCAGTTATCGAGTCTGAACGATCGTTTAACAGCCAATTAAATCTCTCACTAGGTTCTGCCAACGGGATCGCTGTTGTTTGCCATTGTCTCGCGATTATCAACTATTCCACAACCCTATCCAGTGGTCAAATTGGGCGAAGTCGGGTGAGTGTGACTAAAAAGTTATTAAACTAATTATAAGCGAACATGAGAGATCATTATAATAAGGAATATTTTCTTCACCTTCTTCATCTCAATAGTTCTTTTTTTTTCAAGATAAATCTTTGGCTTTTTATTGTTTATGTTTTCCAGAGAATTTAAGATTAAAATAAAAATTCTTTGCTTTGATTATTTTTTAAAATCATTATATAAATGCATCCTCTTAATCAATAATTAGAAAAGATAACTTTATGATTCGACTAGATATATCACGAAATGATAAAATTATATTATGGCATGAAGGATAACATTTGCAGACAGCTGAGAAAAGTACGATAAAATATTTGACGCGTGAAATAAGGTTCCTACTTGAAAAATCAAAATCATTTACTTCTTGAATTAAAACATTTTTTAAATATGCAAATTTTCTTTATTATCAATAATCTTACTTTTTTCGAAAAAAGAATGTATTTCTTCTTTTTTCTATTCTTTAGCTTATTTTTTATTAAATATATTTTTCAGAAAATTTAAAATTAAAATAAGAATTTTCTCTCTCTTTCTTTCTCTCTTGATTACTAATTTATAATTAAAAAAAATAACTTTATGATCCAACTATAAATATATTTTATAGTGATCGCACCTGTTACTTTGCAAAGGTTCAACATTTCTTTTTAGGAAGCTACAAAAGTAAAATATTTGAAGCGTGGGAGATAAAATTCCTAGTTGAACAATCAAACATTAATTATTTAAAAAAAATGTACATTTCCTTTTGTCGAGACGAATGTATACATTGGGTTTTCTACTCGCGCTAATCGCGTTTAGTCACCGAGGAGTCTTTTGAACCCGTCAAGGAAGAAAATCCTCGCTGCGCCGAACGTATTTTCATCAAAGCGCTCGTTTCCGATGAAATCCCCTCGTTTTCTTCACCGCGCGAGTTTCATCTGGCATACAAAAGCATCTTCTTCCTTTATCTCTCCGTATTTTCTCGTTCTCCATTCCGTCGAATACCTACCTCCTTTTGTCGTTGCTCGCGCTCGGTTCCACTTTCCGGCTTTTCTTTTGTTCCTCTTTTGCTTCCTTTATCGTCCCGATATAAATCGATCCGATTTCACGATTGGAACGTATAAGAACGTGTACGAAGATGTGAATTTCGCGAGGCTGCGACGATTCGCGCACGCGTGTCAAGCAGTCGTGAGGTAAAAGCTTCAATTTCGAATATACCCCATGCACCTGTTGAGCTCATTAACAGAGCGAATTTACGTCCACTCGTCAACCGTATTTTTCCGCCGTAAATCTTCACCGGGGATCGAATATCACGGCGAGAAACGGAAATTACAGTCCTTGAGATTGCGACGAGCAACGACAACTTTTGCCTCTCGACAATATTCGTCGACGAAAAGATGAAGGTAAAAAAAGTGGGGTGCGAAAAATTGAAAAGTAATCTAGAGACAGAATAGACGAATAAATAGCAATTAACGAAATTCGATGGAAAGAGCGTGATTCCGTTAAAGCGGAAAAATATCTCGTTAGAGACTCGATATAGCTCTTTTGATCTGATTAACACGCGATGCGTGAAAACTCCATATGAGAGCGCTTGTTTCGAGCAAAATATCGCGTTGCACCGCGTGAATCCGTTGAAATATGCAACGCGCATCGACGCGTGAGCATACGAGTATTCGCGTTTTGATCAACCAGAAATTAGAATTTTAATTTCCGTGACGCGCATCGCCGATATATCCGCGGTGTCACACATCGATCGTGCTTCCCTTGTACTATGGATTTCTCGAAAGAGAGAGGAAACTAGAGAGATGTGTATTGTCTGCAAGAGAGAAGCAGTTATATATTAATTAAATAATAAACTTTTGAATTTTATTTTTAAATAAACTTTTTTCATGCAAAATTATAGCAAAATATTTTAGTGGCATTCTTGTGCGCGATATTGAGAAGAAAGTTACTGAGAAAAAGTCGATTTCGAAAATTGACACACAAGATTAAAATACTGCCTCGATGATCCCTCGACCCTGCGCGTCATTTATTCATCGAGAGCGTCGAGAGCGGGTCAAATTATGAGCGCGGGATGGATGTTATTTTAAGGGCGCTCGATCGATGTAACCCGGGTGGAAAGAACCGATGTCGAAATCGAGCCGACGTTTCTACTGACTCGTGCAAATCAACGATTGAATTATTCATCGCCGGCGGTGCCGTTGCCCTCCTCAAAATGTCATTCCTACCCTTGTTTTACTTTCCATTCGATCGCCTCGCAGATCGATAAGACGATAATCCTGTCCACCGATCAGTTTATGATACATGGAATATGATATACCCATCGATGTGACATGTCCGTTTCATACAGAATTCACGAGGCAGAATAAAAAATTCGATATTTTCGATATAGATTAATTTTCTAGTTTTTATCGAGATATTAATCCACGTGACTGGGTGAAATAATTGATCGAAATAAAATGACATTAATTTGAAAAAAAATACCAGAACGCTAAAACACAATTTAATCGAGTACTACTGGTTTATTAAACATCCGAATCGATGTTCGAGCTCTTGTCCGAGCGTGGAACTAAACAATAAATTCGCAATAAACTTACGTTTTGCGAGAGATAAACAAGTCAGCACATTGTACACTAGAGAAATTACGAAAGAAAACAAAGCGGTAACGTTAGAGATTGAGTCAACGACGGAAATCCCTATTTATAGCGAGCATTCTGCACACACGTCCGCCGGATATCCCTCGCAAGAGTCTCGCGATGGGACGTGTCATAAAACACGCGATTGATCCCCCCGATAGATGCAAAATCGATAGCTGTCTATCCTATTGCATCGTATCGCAAAAACAGATGGCTCTTTCACAAAATCATCGCGAATCTTAATTTTTTCCCCCTTATTTAGTTCAGAAGCGTCTCTCAATGAGAAGCAGAACTGGGTTGAATCATTTTGTGGTGCATTAAAAAAAAGGGAAATTTAAAAATCAGAATTAATAGATTAAAAAATTAAAGCTACAAATTTAAAAATTAACAAGTTTGAAATTATTAGTATTTTACATTTATTTGTCCAGTTATTAATTTTCATTCCGTTCAAGAAAATTTACTAAATGTTCAAGAAAATGTATGAAAGGCATGTTTTCATTAAAAGACAATTTTCTAAAAAGATAGTTATACATAATTACATGGATATAGTTGGATGCCAAACGGAAAATCTCGGACGATTTGGTGAATTAAATAATCAATTTTCGTATTTTTCGATTTTCGATTTTCCTTTGCCTGTATTCTTTCGCGACATAAAAAGTAATGCTAAATTGGAACACGCTCGGCATAATTAAAATGCAACTAAAGCCGATTTCCGTTACAGCATTCAATATATATTCCCATCGCTTTCTCTCTTCCGATCTTGTTTGAAAAGAAAATTGACCGAGTCGAAAGCGATTCTCGCTGGAGACGAGCAAATGTAACGTGGCAGCCATTGCGTTTAATTCACGCTCGATTACATGCAAATGCGCATGAAAGATAGGGCGATTAAGATCTCAATGTATTTTCGTATCTTCTCGAGTCTCCTTTTCTAGGCATTAAGCGAGCAAAAAGCATTGAGGTTGTTACAGCTATTCTGTCACATTGATTACTTAATAATCAAAAATTAATCCTCAAAATCAATTTTTCCTCGGTAAAAGTCCAATTGAGTGCTACATAACTAGATTATAAAAACATGATTTGGAAAACGGCCTAGCTTTCAGTTATTTTGAAATAAAATTATAATGTTGGTTGATAAAGTTGTTTTTACAAGAAATCGAATTCTTTCAACTAGCAGAATCTTTGGAATAATTCATTTCTTTATCAACGAAAAGGTTGAGAAGGTTGTTACACGATATCCCTTGGTCTATAAATTAGGATTACAAAGATCAAGCTTGGTGTTGTATAGGTATTGTAACTTGCGCGAATATCTCTGAATGTTAATCCTGAAATCCGCGAGACATTAGTCTCCTAGTCTAAGGTTTATCTGTAGCTTAGCAGCTTGTGAATTATGCGATAAATATACGTTTATCTCTTGTAAGTTCTGTCAATTATTTTACAAATTTGTTTAAATATCGCAAGTGTTAAAAAATTAGATAGGAAAGCACATAAAAGTTTGAAAGATAGGATATATATTACAGTGTGATATTTTAATGTGTTTCTTGCGAAGAGTATTTTAAGAATTAAAAAAAACTTTAAGGGAAGATTTTGCAAATCGATGCATTTTTATTGCAACAAGAAGTCAACAAGAAATAACGACGCAAAGTATCTGAATATTATCAGCTCCGTGCAGTTGATTTCCTCTCTCGAATCCCTTTTCTACCCCCGAACAACCACAGATTTCTGGTTATTTCGCGACAGCATCGATTTTCCATTTCTTTCGCTTCGCTTCCGGAAAAGGAGTCACGTCGTTATTACATTATCATATCGTTTGCATCAATATAAGCGTGATCGATATTTATCGTTGTAGCATATGTAGAGAATGTTTCGAATATTTCCCACATATTCTTTGCATATTATTATCCACGAATTCCTTAGATCTCTGAATTTTCTGTCGGGACAAAGGTTTGATTAGATCTTTTTCCGAAATATTTTTCTACAATAAATATTTGAATATTTTATTTTTAATATTTTTTAAATGTTTGAATAAACTATAATAACTTATTTAATTAATATATTTATTATAACAATTAAATCAACACAATTTGATAACGAGTTGCGATAATGAATTAATAATGAAATTAATATTGAAATTTTATTAAAATGAAATAATTACGCGAATATCGCGAGACTGATAAATATATCGTTATGACTGACGAGATGTTCCATTACCGCGATATTTATCGGTCCCAGTTTCAATATTTCGTTGCGAAAGAAAAGCAAATGTATGGGAAGTGCATTTGAGAAGAAAAACACGAGGTATATTACGTGCATATTTTTCACCTCTATCGGATTTTTTTTCGTTTTTCCTCGCTTTTTCTTTTTTTTTTA